CCCATCATTGGTATCAATGGGAGAAATGGTGCCCCATCATTGTTATCAATGGGAGAAATGGTGCCCCATCATTGGGATCAATGGGAGAAATAGTGCTCCATCATTAGTAATAGTTGTAGGAATAGCGCCTAATTATCAGTGGGAGGAATTGTGCCCCATCATTGGTGTCAGTGGAAGGAAAAATGCCCCATTGTTGGTGTCAGTGAGAGAAATGGTTCCCCACTGTTGATGCCAGTGTAAGAAATGGTGCCTCCTTGTTGGTGTCAGGGGGTGGAATTTACCCCGAAGGCCGGACAGAGGCTTACAAAGGGCCGAAAATTTGGCCCACGGGTCGCAGTTTCGAGACCACTGATCTAGTGAATCAGATGGCAGTCTGGTGTAAACGGACAGGTGATCCATTTACATGCTACTGCCCCAAAGAGGAGAGTGGGTTTTGTCTGCATAAGCAGAGAGTATGTATACCAGCCCATCACCTTCTCAGCCTGGATCAGCAGACCGATTGCCCGCTGAGCGGAATCCTGGCAGAGTTCGGCTCTGTGTGGCAGGGGCCTATATCAGACTGATTACCGTGCACAGCTGCTCCAATTCTGATGAATTACCATTATGGTGCAATAAATTTTGTGCAATGTATGACCAGTGAAGGTTTCGGTTTGCTCTTTAAATGCCAACACATGGGCCGCCCTCACCCCTCTGTTCTAACCAGCTGCTTGAATTGATAGCAATTCTCGTAAGAAGGTCATTTCCTCTCAAGGAGGAAAATTATTTTTGTACCTAGCATGTGATGACAGTCATTTGTGTTGCTCAAATTTTAAAATAAAAAAAAAAAAAAAAAAAAAATCGGAACAAGGATAAAATATGCAGATGGAAGAGTTAAAATCTGGAAACAATATAATCTTATCTGCTGCTTGGGAGACATTTATATAGAAAGAGGATTGCAAAATCTACAATTAATGACTCTGCAGAAGCACATAAGCCGACAGGACGCCCCCCCTCAGATGAAGACATAGACACAGTCAGATAATGGCGATCGAGTTCAGACCAGTAACTGGAAACAACCAATACTGAATTTCCATCTTTAGAACGCTAAGACTAATGACAACCGATTGGCTGATGTGGGTTAAAGCCTCATACACAAGATGAAAATATCGGACGAAGGACTGTCCTTTTGCATGTTGGTCTCCTATCGAAAATGATTGGGCTACCAATTTTACGACAATTCAGAATACAACTTCCTGCGATGATGTAATGAATGCTTTCATTTCCGGGCATGTGCGGTCTTGGTAACTCTATTTTCTTTTGAAGGACGAATACTGTACTGATTACATGAAAATTATTCGTTAGGTTATCTCACAAGAAAGATTCTCATGCTTATCCTATTTGGAGAACACCGCATGAGCTGCCATGATCGGCTCTCGAAAAACTGCACAAAACGATCAGATTATCGGACTATCGATTCGAAAACAGTATTTTTCATCCGTTTCTCATCGTGTGTACTAGGCATTACATCTCTACGTACGCACCTCTGCTCCTGACACTCCCTAACCTGTAAACAAAAAAAAAAAAAAGAAGTCTCCTCACAAAGCCATTCAGAACCTCGTACCTCACAACTTCGTTCCCACGTCTTACCGGTCCCCCTTACAACCATAATAATTCCAGTGTTTAAACTTATACATAAAAGAAAAGAATGTATAAAATGTAGTTTTTCAAAGAGGTAGCGTGTGAAAAATCTAAATGACATCAATGCAGATTTTCAACAAAAAGGATAGTGTTTGTGTCCAATTACCAAACAGAAAATAAGCCCCAATGAGAGGAATACACAGTGGTAAGGGATATATTATCATTCAAGAATACATTTCATACAAACCAAAAAAAAAGTATGAGAAAACTTTGGGGGGAAACCAAAGCCCTTTAATATGATTGATGGAGCTGATCAGTCGCCCCTTTTATAACAAAGTTATCTACCGTCTCAGTGAGAACTCAGGTAAGATTTAATTTAATTAAAAAAAATAATTAAAATTTAACAGCTTTTGCAAACTTCAGCCATGGAGCTGTTGAGGGGCAACGCAGTGCAAGCTTTTAGTTCCTCTACAACTCCGTCTCCATAGTTGGCAAAGGCTGGTTGAGCAGCATAAGATTCACATATGTTAAACATCAGAAGTGTTCAGAAAGAAAGTTGACCTAATTATACAGGCAGAAAAAAAAAAAAAAAAAAAATAACAGTCAAATTTTACAATCTTGGATCCCAAAAGTAGTGTCCTGCACTTGGATTCACATCTAAGGGTTCTGAAACTTAATCACTAACAAAATGGACAGCAACAGGACAACAATGGACCCTGTATCATGTCCTGGAGTGACTTCACAGGATGGTGAATCTTAGAGATTATCAGTGACAGAAATTTTCCCCATGTGTTTTAGGACCAAGATTGCCCATATATTGCTAAAAACGTATAGAAAGTGGACCTTGACATCTACTTGCTTACACCCCCTCAAAACTATGGAGTTCAGATGTTTTTCAAGGAAGGGTGCTCTTATTACGATAGACAATTGTGCGATTTCAACTTTTGGTGAAGGTTCTTTTCACTTCCAATACGATTGTGCTCTTCCGTACAAAGCCAACTCCATACGTACATGGTTTGACCAGTTTGGTGTGGAGGAACTTTAGTGTCCTGCACAGAGCCCTGACCTCAACCTTACTGAACACCTTTGGGATGAATTGGAAAGCCAATTGCAACTCTTCAGTGTACAAAGCCAATTCCATAAAGACATGGTTTGACCAGTTTGGTGTGGAGCAACTCGAGTGTCCTGCACAGAGCCCCGACCTCAACCCTAACACCTTTGAGATGAATTGGAATGCCAATTGCAAGCCAGGTGGTCTTTGTACAAATCCAGGTTCAAAAAGACATGGTCTGACCAGTTTGGTGTAGAGGAACTGAAGTGTCCTGCACAGAGCCCTGACCTCAACGCTACTGAACACCTTTGGGATGAATTGGAATGCCAACTGCAAGCCAAGTCTTCTGCATACAAACCCAGCTACATAAAGATGTGGTTTAACCAGTTTGGTGTCAAGGAATTGGAGTGTCCTGCACAGAGCCCTGTCCTCAACCCTACTGAATACCTTTGGGATGAATTTGAATGCCAATTGTGAGCCAGGTCCCCTCATACAACATCAGTACCTGACCTCACAAATTACCCAGACTAACGCTCAAATCGTATGGAAGCTTTCCCAGAACAGTGGAGCCTGAGATAGCTGCAATATGGAATGAGGGGTGTTGGGGCCTCTATTAATGGCCATGGTTTCGGAGATATCCAAAAAGCCCATATAGGTGCGATGGTCAGGTGGCCACAAACTTGTGGTTGCCTATATTTTTATATAATTTTCTCTTGCATTATTCATAGCAAGCCTGCCATTACACTCTATTATGGCAGTTCTCCTCAAAGTAGAAGTAGCAGAAGTTGCTCATCGATAAAAACACCACATGGGTGCAATTCACATTTAACAGTGTCAGTTATCTTGTAGATAAATTAATTCATCCCAAACAGACACAGAGAATGTCTCCAATGTAAATCTACCAGTGAAAAGCAAATTCAGCTTTTACTAGGAAAGGAAAAAAAAAATGCCTCCAATTCAAAAACTGCAAACATGATATTCACTCCAGTGAATGCTTCAAACATTTACCTCTATTTTTAATGTTTCCTTCATACTTGACCTCAATATGTGTAAAGCCAAAACTATTAGTTTTGGGTGGAGCGTGGAAGTGTTAAAACTTGTCATGTTTCTATTCCCGTTTACAATACTGGTTATGAATGGTGTTGATGACCATTGCCTCTGGTGCATAAAGTGATGGGAAATCCAAACATTTGAGTTGTCATAGAAGAGGGGAAATCAGCCAATGGGCAAACCTGTTCTGGACAACGTTGGAGAGATTTCCTCAGTTCCTGCTGTGTGTGGGACAGCAAGTAAAGTATAATCTCCCAGATGAAAGAAAAACTTGCAGGGGTCCTAACCATCCCCTACACTACCCAAAAAGTTTTGGCTTTACACACTTAAAATTCAGGTCTAAGAATATTGCTTTAAAAACAAAGAGCTCCAACTCCCTGAATGGGAGAACAGGGACCACCACAATTTATGCTCCCATTTCCTTGCTTAACGAGAGCTCCTAGTGCATTATTAAAGCGGAGATGTATCCCCCACCTCCGTACAGATTTGCTCAGCTGCGATGTGGAAGAACCAAAAGCGAAAATTCTTATCTGTGCACATGCACCTTGTAGAAGCATACGTATATGCTAAAAAAAAATATGATTTTAAAAGAGTGGGTTATATATTTTATATATTTTCTTTTATTATGGGGCCAAGTTAGTTTTCCCTTTTTTGCATACAGCAATGATTAGTGGTGCTCTCCATTACAATAAAATAAATGATGCAAATTTCAGGCTGCAGTCCAGTAATTTCAGGAATGCCAACATTGGCAACCCCTTCTATCTTCACTCCTAACCAGAAGCTGGTTCAAACATAAATCAAACATAATTATAATTTACAATTATTGGCTTATTACAGTATCTGTGCTATTAAAATTGGCTTCAGTGACTTGCAGTCCCACAGCAACCCCTATGCCAAACAAAAATGGAAATAAAGTGGTTATTTGCTTAAAAACGGCTTAAAACACAAAGGGCAACATTCTTTAAAGACCATGGACGCTGCGTCTTTGCACTTTTTAAAGTGTCGATAAATCGCCAGACCAAGAACCCTGTACAAAATATTTTTTTTTTTTTGTTCGGCTATGGAATGTAAAAACATAGAACACTTAGAATTTTTTTTTGTCTTCCTTCATATCATAAAAATAGAATAGTAAGCTTGGAATAAGATTACAGTGGAGGGAATAAACTATACAATATATTTTCTTTAAAAAAATGATTTTGCATGTAGAATGTCACACAGATCGTAGAACAAAACAAAACAAAAAAACAAAAAAATGTGCAAGTGGCGGTTTGATGACCACCGTTCACAGTGTAATCACGGTTCCATCTTCTTCTAAGATCCGTGTCTCATGATTATTGGAAATAAGGTCCAAGCTGCCTCTGCTGGCAGATAAGTGCACGTTGTAGTTAGGCGGAATAAATCCGTTTTGTGGCGATTCGTGATAGGAATCATGATGTGTGAGGGACTCCAGGCTCTCTGAGGATGGGGCGGCCTTAGGGATTTGCTGTGGTTCGCCAGATTCCTCGATGATAATGTCCTCCTCGTCGCTCTCCACTTCTTCAGGGTGGTAGTTCTGGATGATGTGCTGCGTCTGTACATTTCCATACATGCTCGTGCTGCTGTCGGTCGACTGTCCAGAGCTCCCGGAGTTCCGGCTGTTCCGTACTACGTTGTTTCTCTGGTTGGCCGGCCTGACTGTTATGATGAGGTTGTGACTATTTGCGATCATCATGTCGGTCACTTGGTCAAGGCTCTTTCCTGACACTTCGATACCATTGACCTCCAAGACCTCATCGTTAACGGCTAGAAGTCCAGTACTCTGGGCCAGGCCCCCAGGAACCAGTCTAGAGATGAAAATGCCTGGCACTTTCTCTAGGCCGTGCTGTGTCACCCTAACACTGGAGCCGTCCCGGATGTAGAACCCAAGGGGCTTATCCATACCGTGTTTGTAGAGGCGCACCCTACGGTGGGTTTCAGGAAGGATGTCGACGTCAATGATGGACGAAACCGGCCTGAAGTCACTCGGCATACCAATGACCAGGTGAGGCTTCTTTTTGTTGACGTCTGGACGCAGCACCGTCTGAAGGACATTCTTCTTTTTGGTTAAAGTATCTGTGCCAAAGGCGCTGTAGTCCGCCTCCTCTGCAAAATGAGAGAAAGGAGAAATATTAGGATTTGGAAAAAATAAAGAGAAAAAATATTCATGAAAAAATGAATTAACATGGTTGACCTGAAAAAAAAAAAAAAAAAAATCGATCTGGCAACAGTGGTTCATGAAGTCTCTCCTTCGGACTCCTCTAGAAATATCAGAAGCTTGAGAGAGAATAAAAATGGGCAGCTGGTCTCATAAACTATCACTCCTGCCAGCAATAACAGTCACAGGTTTTACTTAAAAACCACACGATCCATAATATAAATTATATATGAAGCTGGCGCTGGTTACAAATCTGTAAGTGAAGGTGAAAGCAGCGGCCTTACAGTGAACAGTGTCTCAAGCAACTCCAACAACTGCCACCTAGATGTATTACTGGACGGATTACAGGGTAACCCAAAGCTAGTTTTGCAACACTTTGCGGCGCTGGCAGTGTTAGGTGAAAAATGTTTCTAAAGATTAAAAAGATGATTAAAATACAAACATATTCTCAGCGTAAAAGCTATAATGCACAATGAAGTGAGGGAGTCATAGCTGGAAGCAGGGTGGCCCACATGGGGGGAATCACAGAGAGGTGAGGTGGGGAGGCTACGGAGGACCCACATTGGAGAGGCGAGGGGGGGGGGAGGGGAGGCTACGGAGGACCCACATTGGAGAGGCGGGGGGGGGGGGGGGGGGGGGGAGGCTACTGAGGGCCCACAGTGGGGAAGCCAGGGAGGTGACGCAGGGCCCACAGTGGGGAAGCGACGGAGGGCCCACAGTGGGGAAGCGACGGAGGGCCCACAGTGGGGAAGCGACGGAGGGCCCACAGTGGGGAAGCGACGGAGGGCCCACAGTGGGGAAGCGACGGAGGGCCCACAGTGGGGAAGCGACGGAGGGCCACACAGTGGGGAAGCGACGGAGGGCCCACAGTGGGGAAGCGACGGAGGGCCCACAGTGGGGAAGCGACGGAGGGCCCACAGTGGGGAAGCGACGGAGGGCCCACAGTGGGGAAGCGACGGAGGGCCCACAGTGGGGAAGCGACGGAGGGCCCACAGTGGGGAAGCGACGGAGGGCCCACAGTGGGGGAAGCGACGGAGGGCCCACAGTGGGGAAGCCAGGGAAGCGACGGAGGGCCCACAGTGGGGAAGCCAGGGAAGCGACGGAGGGCCCACAGTGGGTAAGCCAGGGAAGCGACGGAGGGCCCACAGTGGGGAAGCCAGGGAAGCGACGGAGGGCCCACAGTGGGTAAGCCAGGGAAGCGACGGAGGGCCCACAGTGGGGAAGCCAGGGAAGCGACGGAGGGCCCACAGTGGGGAAGCCAGGGAAGCGACGGAGGGCCCACAGTGGGGAAGCCAGGGAAGCGACGGAGGGCCCACAGTGGGGAAGCCAGGGAAGCGACGGAGGGCCCACAGTGGGGAAGCCAGGGAAGCGACGGAGGGCCCACAGTGGGGAAGCCAGGGAAGCGACGGAGGGCCCACAGTGGGGAAGCCAGGGAAGCGACGGAGGGCCCACAGTGGGGAAGCCAGGGAAGCGACGGAGGGCCCACAGTGGGGAAGCCAGGGAGACGGAGGACCCACAGTGGGGAAGCCAGGGAGACGGAGGACCCACAGTGGGGAAGCCAGGGAGACGGAGGACCCACAGTGGGGAAGCCAGGGAGACGGAGGACCCACAGTGGGGAAGCCAGGGAGACGGAGGACCCACAGTGGGGAAGTCAGGGAGACGGAGGACCCACAGTGGGGAAGTCAGGGAGACGGAGGACCCACAGTGGGGAAGTCAGGGAGACGGAGGACCCACAGTGGGGAAGTCAGGGAGACGGAGGACCCACAGTGGGGAAGTCAGGGAGACGGAGGACCCACAGTGGGGAAGTCAGGGAGACGGAGGACCCACAGTGGGGAAGCCAGGGAGACGGAGGACCCACAGTGGGGAAGCCAGGGAGACGGAGGACCCACAGTGGGGAAGCCAGGGAGACGGAGGACCCACAGTGGGGAAGCCAGGGAGACGGAGGACCCACAGTGGGGAAGCCAGGGAGACGGAGGACCCACAGTGGGGAAGCCAGGGAGACGGAGGACCCACAGTGGGGAAGCCAGGGAGACGGAGGACCCACAGTGGGGAAGCCAGGGAGACGGAGGACCCACAGTGGGGAAGCCAGGGAGACGGAGGACCCACAGTGGGGAAGACAGGGGCCACATAGGTAAGTGAGCACAGAGATAGGCAAGAAGGGGGGCCAGAAAGGGAGTGCAGAAAAAATGGTGTTGATCAGAGTTTCTAATCCATATTGTTCTTTCAACCTGCAATGAAAAGGAAGACAACGGTACTCCCATTTGTTGTTAGGGGTGACGCAGGCACCTTGCACACCTGTTTCATTGTTATTGCAGATGGAATGGTTAAAGCAAGAATGCGGTGTGGATGAGGGCACACACAGCGGCATGATGAGTCTTCCCATAGATACCCGGCAGGAATGCAGGGTGACACACCCAGCGCTCACAATGACTATTTATAAAAAGAGACATCCAGGTCAGTCGAATGCCTAAACACAGGTTATATAATTAGTGGATGACTGCTAGGTTAATCAGCAATCACCTTTGCCCTATATGACAGGCTATGACATCATGCCTCAAGATTCAGGATCTGTAATAAAAGTGAGCTCATGGTTTGATCACAGTCGAAACTGTGCCAGCAAACCTATTTCCCAACACACAGGAGTGGCACTGCCATACAAGAGGCTTTCCAATATTTGTGTATTTACTGGGCCCTCCTATTGTCTATTTGTGGCAGCAAGAGGATTGGAATGTGAATGGTCTTATTTATGTATTAAGGTTCATGAATCATCATGGAAATATGGAATAGTAAGCATGGGAAAAAAAAGACAAAGAAAGATCTAAAAAAAAAAATGTATTGCGTAAGATACACTGTAGCTCCCCTTTACGGAATGAACGCCTTGGTACAAAGCAAGGCTGCAGCTGCACTGCCTTGAAAAAGTATTCATACCCCTTGACATTTTCCACATCTGACCAACACAAAGTGGCACATAATTGTGAAGTGGAAGGAATATGATAAATGGTTTTCAAATAAATATCTGCAAAGTGCAGCGTGCATTTGTGTTCAGCCCCCTTCACTCTGATACCCCTAACTAAAATATAGTGGAACCAACTGCCTTCAGAAGTCACCTAATTAATAAATAAGAGTCCACCTGTGTGTCATGTAATCTCAGTATAAATACAGCTGCTCTGTGACGCCCTCAAGGCATGTACAAAGGATCCAACTATGACCTATGAGGGTGGAAAGGGGGGAACCTTAAGCTGCCAAATTCATAACACGTCAAAGGATTTCTAATGCGACTTCTACTTACACATTTGTCCTAAACTTCGTTCAATAAAAGGCCTATTCTTACATAGAAAAAAAACAAAACAAAATAAAAACTCAAAAATATGTAAAATTTATCCCAACCCTGATGCCAGAGTGAACTCCTATGCACATGCATAGTAATAGCATCATCATTCAGTGCCAGCCAAAGAAGGTGGTCAATGATTCGGCACAAGGAATCCGCCGAGAAGATGCTGTTGCCGGTGGAGGAGGGTGAACACCTGTGGACTCTAGTTCTGCTTTAGTCCGGGTTCACATATGTGCGGTATATCGCATGTGATTCGTACAGGAACCGCACCGCATTCCTGTGCAAATCACATGCGATTTGTGTGCGGTGCGATTGGAGCCAAATATTTTGTATGGCTCTATTTGCACTGCACCAAAAACGTGCGGGACCCTTTTTTGGGTCTGCACAGGTATCCACACCAATGCGATCCGATTCTGCACATCAGACCGCTTTCGGGGTGTTATTAACTTAACATGCACACCCGCAGCAGTTCGCATTAACAGGGTGCGATTCTGAGACTCTGAAACATTGCCTATGGTCTCACCTGCCTGATGAAGGGGTCCCACGAGACTACGAAACATTGCCTATGGTCCCCTGCTTGATGAAGGGGTCCAGCGAGACTCCAAAACATTGCCTATGGTCACCTGAATGATGAAGGGGTCCCGCGAGACTCCGAAACATTGCCTATGGTCACATGCCTGATGAAGGGGTCCTGCGAGACTCCAAAACATTGCCTATGGTCACCTGCCTGATGAAGGGTTCCTGCGAGACTCCGAAACATTGCCTATGGTCACATGCCTGATGAAGGGGTCCTGCGAGACTCTGAAACATTGCCTATGGTCACATGCCTGATGAAGGGGTCCTGCGAGACTACGAAACATTGCCTATGGTCACATGCCTTATGAAGGGGTCCTGCGAGACTCCAAAACATTGCCTATAGTCACATGCCTGATGAAGGGGTCCTGCGAGACTCCAAAACATTGCCTATGGTCACATGCCTGATGAAGGGGTCCTGCGAGACTCTGAAACATTGCCTATGGTACATGCCTGATGAAGGGGTCCTGCGAGACTCTGAAACATTGCCTATGGTCACATGCCTGATGAAGGGGTCCTGCGAGACTACGAAACATTGCCTATGGTCCCCTGCTTGATGAAGGGGTCCAGCGAGACTCCAAAACATTGCCTATGGTCACCTGAATGATGAAGGGGTCCCGCGAGACTCCGAAACATTGCCTATGGTCACATGCCTGATGAAGGGGTCCTGCGAGACTCCAAAACATTGCCTATGGTCACCTGCCTGATGAAGGGTTCCTGCGAGACTCCGAAACATTGCCTATGGTCACATGCCTGATGAAGGGGTCCTGCGAGACTCTGAAACATTGCCTATGGTCACATGCCTGATGAAGGGGTCCTGCGAGACTACGAAACATTGCCTATGGTCACATGCCTTATGAAGGGGTCCTGCGAGACTCCAAAACATTGCCTATAGTCACATGCCTGATGAAGGGGTCCTGCGAGACTCCAAAACATTGCCTATGGTCTCACATGCCTGATGAAGGGGTCCTGCGAGACTCTGAAACATTGCCTATGGTTACATGCCTGATGAAGGGGTCCTGCGAGACTCTGAAACATTGCCTATGGTCACATGCCTGATGAAGGGGTCCTGCGAGACTACGAAACATTTCCTATGGTCACATGCCTTATGAAGGGGTCCTGCGAGACTCCAAAACATTGCCTATAGTCACATGCCTGATGAAGGGGTCCTGCGAGA